TTAGGTTTGCCTCTTGCAGAGCCACGCATTAAAGAGTTCGCCAGGGTTTGGTTTTCCACTGTTAATCCAGAGAGAGATCGACGGGGTTTTGGGCTTTACTTTTCGTACACTGGTTGGAGAGAGAGAATTCGACTGGAAATGGGCTTTGGGCTTTCTTTTCTACATTCTGGGTGTTTTAATTAAGGAAAGAGTTTATATAAGGTTCCAATGTTAAAATGTAGAATTAAAAATGCATCAGAAAATCCAGCAGGAAAAGTTATTTTAATGTTAAAAAACCTCTAATTGATCATCTTCAGAGGTTTATATAAATATATATATATATATATATATATATATATCAAATAAAAAACAAAAAATAAAAAGATTTTGAGTCTCAAAAACAATGTATCTCGCAACACATTACCTACTGTTCATTTTTCAACATTTAAGGCTGAAACTCAGACTTTTAGTTTTGAGTTCAAAAAATTCCGCCCAACGATTGATTTCTCTGTCATTTTAGCATCTTTTTCAATTCAAATTTGTGTGTTTTGAAGATCAGAGACGTCCTCACAAGATCACAGTCCAAATTTGGTCGAACTGAGCAATTTTCATGCTCGAATTTGACTCTTAAAGGCTGAAACTCAGTTTCAGTTATGGGTTCCAAAAAATTCATATATTATCCTATATAAAAATTTGTTTTAATTTTTACTTTCAAGATAAATTTAGGTTATAAGACACTATACACTTAATCTATTTTTTTTCACATTTTTTTATTTTTTTAGTTTTTGACTCATTTTTTTAAAAAAAATCTACTGGACCAAGCCAAGTTCGGATCCATGGACCGTTGACCGGGTTGGTTTGATCCTTCCAAGACATATAAATTGGTTAACTTTTTTGTTTTACAAACTATGTGCTCTTCAAAAAATAAAAATGGCTTCACTTGGGTTGTTTTTTTTTTATAATAGATATTTATTTGAAATAAACTATATAGACATCTTACCCTTAATACTTTTTAATTTCATTCCAAACAAAATTTACTTTGTTCCCTCCCCTCCCCCGATAAAAAAAAAAAAACGACATTCTCTTCTCTCTCTCCCTATCCACCTTTTCTCTTTCTCTTTCTCTTTCACTCTCTCTCTACCCGTCCGCTCTATCTCTCTCTACCTTCCCCCCCTCTCTTTACCCTCCCTCTCTCTCTTTCTCTCTCAAGAAACAAAGAAGGAGAAGAAGAAACTTTCATCGCAAAAAAAAAGAAAACCCTAAATTTTTTTCTTTAAGAGGAGCCCAGGGAACCTTCTTGTTGCAGAGAACAAAGTACGAATTGGTTTGTGAACGCTGTGTTAGACTTTGTACCATTAAAACATATTTTCTGCCCGCTCCCCTCCCCTCTCATCGACAACTTCTAAAACAAATTTAAACATAATTTTCAGCTTTCTCACAATGTCCAACAGAGAGAATACTTGAATACATAGGGGAGAAAAGAACTTGCACATAAACACCAACACCCCCAACAAATACACATCCCCAACCAAAATAAATAAATAAAAAAACAGTTTCTATTTTTTTTTCCTTTTTTTATCAACCAGAATTCAGGCCTTTCCCTCCAGCCTTGCATGAGTGAGACCAACACAAGTATCCACAAAATCCTCATCAATATAATCTGATGAAAAAACCTGCAACTTATCAGCACATCCTCTAGCGAAAGCCTGTGCTATGAAGAGCCTCGCGTACCCCCTTATCCGATCCGTAACGGGCCTGACACAGAGCACCGGGTTGTCGGCTTGAGGAGTCACTGTATTCTCAACCCTGTAGAAATACTTTCTCGAATTCACAGGTGGTTGCTCGGCTAAATGCTTCAGATTGCTCTCGAATTTAGTCAAGGGCAAATCGGTATCGATCCAGTTGTCTTTAAGGTAGCCTGCACTCCATAGAGGGCCGCCTCGTGGCGGTGGTGGCGCTTTTCTTGGCTTCCAAATGCAAATCAAACGCTTTGGTAACACCTCGGTGACTGTCCGGTCGAAAACCGAGTCATCTTGATGGATGCAATATTCGCCCAATTGCTCGATCAAGTATTTGTCGAATTCAGGGGGGTCTTCATAGCCAAATTCGGTCCGAATCTCCAAAATTACAAGCTCAGACTGGGTCTCCGATAAGAATTTCTTGACGTCGGAGATGACGAGGTCGATCGAATAGGTAGTGAGAATTCCATGGCAGACACGACGATCCTTATTAACACGAATGTCAAGGAGTCGGACACCACGACAGAGTTGCCTATAAATTGAGCAGGATTGGCATTGGGCGAAGGGGCGGGACACCAATGGGATACCGATCTTGTTCGTGGCCGAGTCATGAGTGCCCGGCCAAACGATGGTCTTGATTTGCAGCTTGTTGAGATCGAGGGTCGACATCCATTCCTTTCGGTTCGATGCACGGTGATCCGAGCCCGGAAACGTGGTGCCAACACTGTCGTTGAGCTCCTGGAGCTGATTTTTCTCTGTTGAAAGGGTCTTTCGACGCTGAATTTGCTTTGTTGCGTGTTGCCCCATAGAGATAGAGAGAGAAAGATAATTGCAAGTTGGAGAAAGAGAAGATTAGAAGTAGGAAGCTTTGGAGAATTCAGAAAGAAGGGAAAAGTACGAGCTATTTTCTTTGGTTTTGCAGGAATGGGAGGGAAGATAATAAAAAAAGAGGATGATGGGGTTGATCGGTTGGGGTTTTTCTTTTAGTTTTTGCAGAAGAGACAGAAAGAAAGAGAATAATAATGGAGGAGGTTAGAAGTTTGAATGAAGAAAAAGGCCAAGATTGGGATGATGGATCATGACGACAAATGAGATTATTATTTTTTTTTGGTTCTTTGTTGGCGCGAGTTTTATTTTTGTCGTTTAAACCGGTTTTGGAATTACCCCAACTCCTTCAACGCAAAAAAAAAGAAAAAAAAAAAGTATATTATAAAATTATTTTAGTTAAAAATAAAGTCAAAAAATAAGAAAGTATATTATAAGAATATTTTACAATTGTCATTAAGAGGTCACCATTGCTCATAGCCCTTAGATGTTACATTGGAAGTAGGTCAATTTTCTTTTTTTTGTTTTTTCAAAAGTTAATTGAGATTTTTGAGGGAAAATGAAGGATAATTACTGGTTGAAATGGGAGTTTGTGAGTGGTTGCTGGGGAGTGGTAATCCGGTTGGTGAGGAGTTTGGTTAGAACTTAAGAGTAAGAAATTTAAGAGATTGGGATCGGACATGTGGCCACCGGCCATTGGAAGGTGGCCCAAGGATATGGAAAACGTTTGTCCGTTTCTTTTCTCTTCTTCTTTCTTATTTATTGCTCTTCTTCTTTCTTATTTATTTATGGAATTATTGGACGTTTTATAATTTTTGTGGTTTTGGTTTTTTTTGCGAACCTACTCTATAGATGAAGCGATGATTTCGGCTACCTTAAGTATAGATTATATGTTTAGTTTATAATTTATTTAGGCCTCTGTCCCTGTAAACATTACTTCAGAATTTTTCTTAGAAAGTCTAAATGATCATGAAGTGTTCAACTCTGACTGTTTTTGTCGTTGGTGTTCTTTCTCTCTCTTAAATTACATTACTAAAATATTTATTTTATAAGGATATTTTTTGTTTTTAGTGGGAATTTTTTTTTCGGAATTGTATACTATACCTATTTGTTTTTTATACATAAATATTACAATCATTTTTAGCCATTGAAAATGAAATCTAATAGGTAAAGTATGTCACGATATTTGAAAAAATTTATTTTGAATTTTATGTCCAAAAATTGATGTATTATCAAACAGTCTATTTTAAATCTAACAGTCAATGATGGTGATGATCACCTTGTATGGAAAGTAAATAGTCTCACTGCATTTTTTTATTTTTATTTTTTTTATATACATTATAGTTAAGACGAAGGTACATAATATGCAAATAAATGAGGATCTATGACATAAGAGATAATTGGGTAAAAAGTCCTACAACTATATATAAATCTAATAGATGAAAGTGTATCACAACATTTGAAAAATATTATTTTAGACTTTGTGCCAATAATAGATCCTTAACAACCGGATTTCAAATCAAACGTTCATTGATGTTTGTGACCTCTTTATATCAAAAGTATATGATCTCATTGTATATATTTCTATTTGGGGATTGTAAACTACTAGATTATTTATCTTTCTACAAAGAGATCTCATTTACTCCTAGCCACTAAATATCAAATTAGATGACTTGTGTATCTTACGAAGTTTGAAATTTTTTTTGTGAATTTTAGGTTTAGCCAATGGCATTGATCACACCCAATTGAAAAACTAAAAGACAAGAGCAACTGTGACCTCCTTGTCCGAAAAATAAATAATTTTTTTTGTATACTTATCCTCTCCAATGCAATCGCAGACTTTCAATGAAGACCAAGGGATATCCAGACCGTTGATTTGCCAAATGCTTGTAAGCTTTAATGCTACGTCAAGAAATAAAATGGAACTACGCAGCTAGCTCCCATTACTCTTTTCCTTTTGTTGAAAGATTGCATTGGACGTTGCCTGCCACTTACTTTCCTGTTATGATAGGGACATGAAAAAGAACCAAGCAAAAGCCCCAATAATTCAATCCTACATCCCTCTCTCTCTCTCTCTCTCTCTCAATTTGATAAGTCTACGGGGTGACAATCCTGTCAGGTAAGCCCAACCCAAGCCCAAGTTTGGACCCGGTTAATGGCCCTAATGAGTTGGGCACATATCCCAATATTCAGGTCCGAGTACAGGCCCAATTCCTGGACCGACCCGGTTAATGGCCCTAATGAGTTGGGCACATATCCCAATATTCAGGTCCGAGTACAGGCCCAATTCCTAGACCGACCCGGTTAATGGCCCTAATGAGTTGGGCACATATCCCAATATTCAGGTCCGAGTACAGGCCCAATTCCTGGACCGACCTAGATTGGTCCAACTACCTCGTAGGATCGAGGCCGACAAGAACCCCACCCAGCCCGTTTACCCCCTAGATGAGTCTCATGCATTGGATAGACATGTCATCATAATGTGATATTATTGCATTTGTTGTCTTCCTAATAATTTAAAACCTAACAAGGGGAGAACAGACCCAACATGAATAAAAAAGCTATAATATAATATTAACACTGCCAAGCCTACGAAAGAAAAAAGAAATGCCTCTAAACATCAGCTATTCAACTTCACCAAACCTGACTCCCACCACCAAGAGCTACAAGATATATTTATTTAATTATGAAGCAATTTTGATATCAAGAATTTTTGGGATGGCTTGAGAATCAATTTTTATATCTAATTATAATATTTTAAACTCTGAAAATGCTTTAAATCAAGCTGATCTATAAATGCATAAAAATCTTGGAAATGAACGGTCCAAAAAAAATACTGCAAGATGTACTATCCTTTGGACTTCAAATCTTTTCTTTTTTTTTCATGTCTATACATTTTGATGCCAAGATATTAATTAGGTTGTTTTTGGACCAGCCCGAGACAATTTTCGATTTCATATTATACATAAAATACAAGGCATTCACATTCGTGAGAAAAACAAAGGCATAATCAAGCTTAGTCATGGAAGATAATCCTCGAATTTGAACATAGAGACCGTGGGCCATCCATAATCCATAGTGTTAATAGCGTTGTCGACCGCAATGGGCCATTTCACGCGCTTTCAGATTACATGTGGTAATCCATAGTGTTAATAGCGTGGATGTTGACCTCAATGGGCCATTTCACGCGCTTTCAGATTACATGTGATCTACAACCAATCGAGTGCCATTAAAATAAAGTTCACGGGACAAATTTTACTTTATACTACTGAAGTGATGCAGACCTTACCGAAGTAATTAGAAAATATTGTTTTAAAGTTAGAAAAATTCTTGAATTGATTTCTTGACCCCGAGAAATATGAATATGAAAGAAAATGGATTTCAAAGTTTTAAAAATAGTACATCTTGTAATATAATATCTAGACTGTCTATTTTCAAGATTTTCAAATATACATAGATCTATGTGATATGCATGAATTTTGGAGCTTTGAATTTCATAATGGACTCAGTTTCTATGCGGCCAAGCCCGCATATGTAGAAATGTGACCATCTTAATAAATCTACTTTTGAGATGGATTTTAAGAATTATATTTTTAGGACATGTAATCTTTGACATGTAGATCATGAATATGAAAAAATAAATACATTTTAAAAATTAAAAATAATAATTCTAATAAAAAACATTTGGACCGTTGGTTTCTATTATTTTTAGATAGAACACATACTTGCATCCATCTTTAAGATGGATTCTTTATACTTTATCGACCATATATGTAGAAATGCGGTCCAGCCTGTATGAAATAACTTTCCTTTCATAATTAGGAGCGCAAACATATTTTGACATGCACACATCTTCTCACAAGATTTTTTATTGTTAAAGGTGGGTGCCTACTTGAGCAAAAGCTTCTCTAGGAGATTTTTCTTTTCTTTTTTTTTTAATACTTTTTCTTATATGAGGATTTACATGGCATCCTTGATTCACATGAACATCTTAAAATTAATGATAAATTATGAACGTTGAGTGATCTGATTGTTCATCAAATGGATTATTTTTGTTCATTGTTGGATTGGATTTCCATAGCACAATTATCAAGACCAGACTAGACCACTTGATATGATCAGTCCGATTGCCGACTCGTGCTTTTGTCATTCCGGTCTAAAGCAAAAATTCAATTTGATCGAAAACAAGTCAAAATTAATATTTGACATGTTTTGACTAGTTAGACTCTCCAATTTTAACCGGTTCAACCAACTAAACAAAATTGAGAAATTTTCTAATATATTTTATATTTTAAACTATTATTTTTATTTTTTTAATATTTGTTTAAATGTGGCTCAACCAGTTCGACCAACTACTAGTTTTAATTGGATTAGATCCCATACTGATTCAATAGCTAAGTCCAATCCTAATAACTATGTTCCACAAGAGCAATTCAAACTATTTCCTTAACATGGATTGCTGACATTGAATACAAATATCGAAACTTTAGGGTCCACCAAATGCCCCGAGTAGGTTTTTGCCCACAGGTGCAAATGCACATTGTAACCCAGCCAGAGTACGTAATAATTTTCCTAATAGTAGGGTGATATGAACAGATGCCTATACAAGTCAAATCTGTATTATTACCGCTCTGCCCTCCCTAATACTTAGAAACTGAATTAACAAATCGCTTTCTGCTTTTCTTTTAGAGATGAGTGCATTTAATCTGAAACTCCATGCATCAGCCCAGGAACGAAATAAAGAAGCAAAATCAGGTGTTTAATGCTTTTTAACTCCACATATAGTTCGACGTACAAAATCAGTCAGTTATTTCAATACTGGACTAAAGGTGAAGAAAAATAAACAAACAAATAAAGATCTGTCCAGGAGTTAAATTACAATTATTACTAGATTTCAGGGACCTGCAATATTATACGCAGGTGTGATGTACTTTAATCCTGTTGAAGGTTTAGTTTTCTAACCCCACAACAAAATAGTAATGATGCTTGGCACATTTTATTTAAGGATTGTCCACAAAAACGTCATTTATCTTTTGTACATTGAAGTCACAATCATTCACACTCATTAGATGTCAAATTGAATTGTTTGGGATGAGTCGTAAAGTCTGTGGATTTCTTTTGTCTATTCAATAACACTCTTACAACCACCCATTTTGAAATTTAAAAGACAAGAAGGATTGCGACCTCCATATACAAAATAAATGGTCTCGTTGTAGACAATCCCTGTTTTTTTTTATGCCTTTTACCCATTCCAAGCAGCAACATTCAATGGCAACGCCCAATAAACATTCATGGTAGTAAAAGTATAAGTTATACCTTGTAAGCTCTCATTTTTGGGCAATTATAATAGAAATTAACGACCTACTCAGTTCATACAAACAATCCACCAAACGTAACAAAATACATGGAATATTTCGATCAACAATTTGATATGTGGAACTGCTCATGCAATATAACTCATCTCTGTTTCTGCCTAATATTTGAGGTTGCCCACTGGAAGTGATCGCACCGAGCTTCAGGATTAGACGAGGGCCCCTGATATAATTTCCAATGCCCACTTATTCTTTTTCGCTTAATTGTCAGAGTTATAAAAACTTAGAAATTGAAGAAGGAAAAAGAGATTAGTAACTTCAAATAACGTTGCGTCATCTTTTATTGCCACATGAACTGAAATATGCATCTTGACAAGTTAAAGAGACTATAAATACAAAAAAGTGCAAGACAAAATGGAAACTGATGGATCCATCAAGCCAGAGACACAGATAACAAAGACAATGAGATAATACAACATACCTTAGCACGAGCACAAACGTAGAATCCACGGCCTATATTTTTTGAACCGGCTTTCTTTACTGACCGAGCAACACAAGGTTCTTTATGACCCTTACAAAGTGGTATGCTACTCTGCATTAAACTCTGAATCCTTTTCCACTCTGACAATGCAATGCTATCTTTAACCTTCTCAGACATCTGAACTAAATTATTGCCTTCATCATGACATGATGTTTCCCCATAGCATTCATCCTGGGTGATATTTTGTGGATCTTTATCAATAGGGGTGTCATCGAATGAATTGGTCTCCTTCACATCTTCAGAAATTTCAGATTCATTTATTAACTCATCTATTTCACATTTTAATGCATCAGCATTTGCATTCTCTAACTCGATAATTGCATGTGCTGGATTCATCTTGAAGAAAGACTTCAATGTCAGTTGTGAAGAATTTCTACACTTTGCTTTTTTCGTCATGTTTGTGTTAATATAAGGCATCGATAAAGAACCTGATCGCAAATTTAAACATTCAATTGGACACTCAACCAGGGCTTTAAGCAGAAATAGTTAGAGAAGCGAAAGAAGTAGCACATAATGGTGAAGCAATGAGGTTATTAGCAGTTTCGATTGATTTACCTTTGGCAACCTCACATGAACGCCTAGCATCCTCCTTGCAATTCTCTAATGCACAATCTCCAGATAGTGTATCGTATGTTCCCCGGTTCTCCTCCCCAATTAAAACTTGCCTTTTCTGAAGCATCGAAACTGCCAAGACAGAGAAGTCATTCTTCTCACATCAAGAAGAACAAAAAAGTTATTATATGAAAAATGTTTCGTAGTTCTCACAGTGATATGTCAAAAGAATAGGTGATAGGCTCTTATCAATTAAACTTGTATTAGGGAACGAGAAAATTAACGTAATTAGTATTTATGCACCAAAAGTAGGATTAGATGATAGAATTAAAAGACATTTTTGGGAGGAAATAGATGGAATAGTCTAAGACATACCAAATACAGAGAGGACTTTTTTAGGACGGGATTTAAATGGTCAAGTAGGGAAAGATAGTAGAGGATATGAAAGGGTACATGGGGGATATAGGTTTGGCGAAAGAAATGAGATGAGTAAGACTATTCTAGATTTTGTTATAGCCTACGACCTAGCAATAGCAAACATTTACTTTAAAAAGCAAGATGAACATTTAATAACCTATAAAAGTGGATCACATAAAAGTCAGATAGGCCTCTTACTAATTATAAAGGTAGATCGACCATCATGTAAAGATTGCAAGGTTATCCTAGGAAAGAATGCCAATGGGTAGGTCCCGGCCCAGCCCGGCCCTAAGCCCGGAAAAGCCCGAACCCAATTCTGCCCGGTCTGGTGAGGCCCCGGCCCGGAACTATGCGCAGTAAGCCCCGCCCGTTAAAAAAACCAGAAGCCCGGTGCGACCCATTAAGGCCCGGAATTTCCCATATGCTCGGACCAATTCATTAGGCTTATTGGGCCTGGTCCGATCCAATTTAGACTTTTTCTTAAATCTCTCCAAAGTTTTCTTATAAGCATAAAAAATTGCTAATTATTTTCTTTGGGTTTCTAGACAGAAAGAATGGGTCTTTAGAGAGAGATATTGGGCTTCTAGAAAGAGTGGATTTTAGATAGAGATTGGGTTTTAGAGAGAGAAAGAGATGGGCACAATAAAGCTAGAGCACCACATACAAACTTGTTTACGAGACAACTTGGAATTTTATTGGCCAAGAGACAATTTTCAAAGCAATTCTTCCTTTCATTTTGCGTTCCATTTTGCAGAGCTGAAAATTCTTAATGAAACAGAGAGCAGAGAACTTAACATCTTCATCAATGATGGACAAAGATGGAATCCAAGGCCTATAATTCCTCCATATTTGAGAGCTCCAACTGTGTCCACAAGAGAGGCTTGGAAACTGAGCGATGGTCTTCGAGTTTATGTCAACAAGACGGACACGTCCACCCTTCCTCCGATTCTCAACCGACTGTCGAGATGGTGATCTCTCTCTCATCTCTTGCTTGCATCGATGTTTGCATGGAGATTTTATCATTTTCTTTCGAGGCATGCATCATACATATATAGAATTGGGTATTCATACCGACCATCCACCATCAATACGCGTTATGGACAGTAGGTGTCAGCTGCTGCTCCTCTTATGGACTTCTAAGTGAGGAAACAGTTTGTCTCCATCCGTTGGTTGACATGGATGGTGCATAGCAAGTCTAGGCACTCGTAAACAACGATACGGAAACCCCACCACCAATTTGAAAAATAAATAAATAAACAAATGGGCCGGGCCTTATTAGACCCAGCCGAGGCATTTTCGGGCTTATCAGAGCAACCCGGCCAGTTGAGCAGATTTCGGGCCTTTTCAGCCCGGCCTGGCCAGATAACAATACACACCTACAATGGCCCGGCCCAGCCCAGCATGCGGTCCCTTAACGGCTCGCTGGAGGCCCGTTAGCCGGCCCTGCCCTGCCCTGAAGACCGCGTGCAGACCCGTTCATTAGCAGCCCTAATCCCAGGAGAGTGTTTGACTACCCAACATAGGCTTGTGGTTATTGACGTCTGCTTAAAGACATGGAAGAGAAGAGGTGAAAGTAAAGGGTGTCCAAGAACTAGGTGGTGGAATTTAAAACATGAGAAAATAGATTTATTTAGAGATAAATTAGTTGAAGAAGAAAAATGGAACTCTGAACATGGTGTCAATGTAAATATGGAATGAGATGGCTGCCTGTATCAAAAATGTGGCAAAAGAAGTTTTAGTAGAATCCAAAGGGAAAAGAAACTCCAATAAGAAAACTTGGTATAAAGTGACGAGGTTCAAAAGACCATTAGTGAAAAATGATCATGTTATAAAACTTGGCAGTGTAATAGAAATGAGCAAAACTTAGAAAAATATAACAATGCTAAGAAAACGTTAAACAAAAAATAAATATAGCCAAACTTAAAGCATATGATAATTTATATAATAAACTGAGAACAAGAGAAGGTAAAAATGATGTCTTCAAATTAGCAAAAAATAAGAGAAAAAAAGTGTAGGGATCTAAACTATATTAAATGCATTAAGAGTGAGGATTAAAGGGTCTTGATGAAAGATGACGTGATCAACAAAAGGAGGAAATTTTATTTTAAAAAATTATTAAATGACAAACACAATGGGAACCTAACAATAGAAGGAATTGTTGATACTAACGTGGGCGGAGGTCATAGATACATTCGTATGATTAGGATGTAAAAAGTGAAAGTAGCTTTGAAATTGATGAAGTAGACCAATATGGTATTCCGATAGAGGTTTAGAAGTGCGGGGGATATTGGCATTGACTGGTTGACGAAGTTGTTCAACAAGGTGTTGAGAACAAAGAAAATGCTAGACAAATCGAGAAAAGGTATTGTGGTATAACAAATGAGATATACAGATTTGTGCAAACTATCGAGGGATCAAACTTATAAGTAATGCTATGAAGCTCTGGGAGAGAATGATTGAGCAACGACTAAGGCATGAAACGAGTGTACTTGAAAACCAATTTGGTTTATGCCAGGAAGGTCAACAACTGACGCTATTTCCTACTTAAGCACTACTTAAGCAACTGATTGAGAAGTTTAGGGTGAAGGGCAAAGACCTCCACATGATCTTTATTGATCTAGAGAAAGCTTATGATAAGAGTACCTCGAGATTTGATTTGGCAAGTGTTCGAAAAGAAAGGAGTCTCCAGACACTACATCGACTTGGTGAGAGATATGTACGATGGAGCGCTAATTGGTGCACGAACAACTAGTGGAGAGACAAGTGGGTTTTCCATGACAATAGGTCTACATCAATAGGTCTACATCAAGGATCAGCATTGAACCAGTACCTCTTTATCTTAGTTATGGACGACTTAACTAGGAACCTACAGGATCAGATACCATGGTGCATGTTGTTCGTAAATGACATAGTTTTGATTGATGAGACCTGAAACAACGTTAACACAAAGTTAGAACTTTGGAGGGATGCTCTACAATCCAAAGGTTTTAAAATTAGTCGGACTAAGACAGAGTATGTGGAATACAACTTTAGTAATAATAGGAATAGAGACGATGAAGCAATTAAGATTGACGACCAAGAAGTACAAAAAAAACATGCACTTTCGATATCTTGGTCGATAATCCAAGAAAATGCAGAGATTGAGGAAGATGCCGCACACAGAATTAGAGCTAGGTGGGCGTAGTGGAGATGTGCAACTAGAATTTTATGTGATCGTGACATACTAATGAAGCTATTGGGCAAGTTCTATAGGACAGTTGTGAGACCGACTTTGCTCTATAGGGTGGAATGTTAGGTGGATAAAAAACAATATAACCATAGAATGAGTGTAACGGTTTGAGATAGATGAGTGGTAAGACAAGAAGGGATAATTTTCAAAATAAATCCATTCCGGAGAATTTAGGTATGGCACCAATAGGGGATGAGATGGAAGAGTAGATTTAGGTGAGTTGGCCATGACCAAGTACAACACCTATTAGGAGGAGTGAGTTAGTTTAAGCAAAAGGACTGAAAAGGGCAAAAGGTAGGCCCAAAAAGACACGGTTAGAAGTAGTCCAAAAAGATATGGGGATTTATGGCCTCACTAAGGGTATGACCTTTAATAGAGCAAAATGTCAAACCAAGATTCGTGTAGATGAACCCAATTGATTGGGAAAAAGCTATGATGATGATGATGAGTTCTCATAGTGGTATGCACATACAAATGACCAAATGCATGAACCATTCATGCATTAAAAAATCATATCACTGCTTAAGTATACATGAATAGCTGCATGCAAACCAACACATATTTATCTGCTGTAAATTGTAGACACGCAAGCAGTTGTGTGCTCTGTATATGTAGAGACTCTTTCTTTTTGTCAACCTATGATTTATTAAGTGAATATTTTGGTTTTTACCATCTTCATAAATATTTTTTTGTGGAAGAAACAGACCATAATGAATTGAGCTTACAAAATAAGATAGTACATGGAACCAAAAAATGACAATGTTCAGTTTTCTCAAATAGAGCTGGCGGGTGGACTTGTTGCATCGGCTAAAATAATTTTTAAAAAGGACAAGGTAAATTTCAGAAAAATAGAAACTGAGAATAAGAAAAAAAGGAAATAAAACAAATAAATAAAAAGCATAAACCAGTAAGTACAAAAATGAGAAATAAGAAAAAAGGGAAATAAAACAAATAAATAAAAAACATTAACCAGTAAGTACAAAAATGGAAAACACAATATTCCAAATAGACTCAAATAATCACCCAAGTTTTAGCTAGCAGCTTGTAGTTCCACTATAAAATGAGTATTCCCTTGTGTGTTCTGTCTATAGAGGCTGAAGCAAGAGACTTTTTGACCCCAAAGTCTTCTTCTCAAGTTCCATGATAAAACACACTTATTATGCACAATCAGTATTTTTATTTCTCTTGGGTGCGCATAATACGTTGATCTTATAGCAGAGACTAGCTTGATGAATAGGGATAATTTCTCTCACCGAGAGTTTGTTGCCGTCCACGAACCTCAGGAACATATCTAGTCGCCAGAGGTGGAGTGCTGTGCAATGCAAGATCAGGCATATCACCCAGGTTGACAAAGACTGGAACATGATCAGAGCCTTCCAATTTAATGCTTCTCCCACCTTTCCACCTAGAATATGGGCAACCAGAAATTGCATCTTCTCAATTGAAAGAACATGCATTCAGACAAAGTAACTGTTTATATACAAAGAGAACAGGATACAACTAACTCCTTAAAATATTAGACCTTGGAGTGTTGTCCTGTCTTGAACGTTTGAACTGAGTAAGAATGTCACACTCGTTAACATGGCAATCTAACAAGTCATGAATTTCTGAGTCTGTACTTTGATGAAGGCAAGGTCCAGCAATGAGAATCAGATCAATCCTGGACCCAAAATTGAACTCCTCAGCACCAGTTTGTGGTGACCAGCACGTATAAGCCTCCTTTCTGCAAAATAAACAAAGAACATGCTAATCTGATTACTAAATGATGAAAACCTATTCTAATAAAAGAATAGAGAAAAACATGTCTTGGAATATCAAGTGCTTTAACTGATGAAAAGGTGAACTCAATATCCAACGTAAACTATCCTGGATATGAAGAACGAAAATAGATAAGAAACTATTACTCAACTAACAGAAAAGATTAAAAATATATCAATGAACTTCATGTACTATAGTAGTTCACAATGCTAATCAATGAGCTACTCAAGAAAACTATTAAAACAACCACTTTTTAAATAATACTGAAAATTCAAAAGCTCAATAACACCCTCCAAATAAATAAAAATGACTAATAAACCCAGTGTTAAGTAAAAATGCCCTATTTTCCTGCACTTATTCCAAAATAAATGAAACTATAGCTAAAATAGAAATAAAACAAAGAAAGCAGACCCAAGTAGTGCCTGTTCTTATTCTTCGTCGTCATTTGTCATACTTTGCACATTGTCATTTCTACCAAATTATTTTCAGTCACTGTACATGCATCCTTAGCATGCAATCATGAAAATAAACCAATCTCATTTTACAAAATCAATCAAGCATAGAAAAATAAAAATGAGATAAAACTAAGCAACTTAGGTTTTCAATTATGAAGCCCTAATTATCAATTTATATTGCTGAAATAAGCGTTATACAGAAAATCAAACCCTACATGATTTTAAGACATTTATTTTCTTATGTAAAGGACAAATTTATAGTGAGGATTTTCTAGATCTCATGATTTAAACTAGATTTATCGACCTCAATAAGATCTAGATTTAAATTCATGAGTGGGAACAAGTTACAGTTTTAACTTTATCTTACAATTTGAATATAAAAATAAAGCACAACAATATGACAGAAAGGAAAGTGCTTAAACAGATCACAACACTCACTTATCTTTCTGTTATCTTTTAATCATTCAAATTCTATTCAAATCACAAAGAGCCTGCTCATCTACCTCCTCCCAAGAAAGTGTGGATGGACGTAAAAATGCATAATACCCAAACAGTGACATGCTATGCCAATAATAACTTCTAAAGCAATCCAACTGTCCCAACCGACCCAAGAAACCAACAACTTCCTAGCAGAAGATTGAAAAACAGGCATTGTTTATTCCACACAAACAATACTGCACATCATGCTAGGTAATGCCACTTTTTACATTATTGATGCACACATATGGGAATTAGGTTTCTCTAAATGTAGAAGTCAACTAATGTAGCTCATGTCCTGATGGAAGACATGATGCGCCTTATTTTTTAAATTTTTCTTATTAAATTCAAAGATGTACCTTTTAAATTTCTAGGGTTATTTTTTCAGGATTTTTAAGTTTTTTTTTTAAGGGACTCTAGGGTTTTTATATTTTTTAGGATTTATGAGATTTAAAAGTGGTTAGAATACTTATGGAATTACTGGTTTTATGAGGGGTCAAAGTGTCATTACGAATTTTCTTCTAAGTAAAAGTACTTATGGGGTTTTTTTTATGATGCTTTAACTTAAGTGGGGGGTAGTTCTGGTCTTTTCTAATTATAATGTAATAAAAGGTCCCAAGGCGTTACGGTTCCTAACACTTTTGGGGTGTGAACTATAAAAACAGGCGGTGAATAGTAACAACAAGTAGTATCTGGGGTTTTGGGATCACTTTTTTTGTACAAGGTAAGCCAGGTCCACTCAAATCTAGCTTGTTTTGTCTATTTTCTGTATTTTCTTGCATCAAATAGAAAATTTGTGAACCTTGCAAAGGAGTAATTTGAAGTGGACAACAAGCTATGCTTTAATGGAGATCCTGTTTATGATGAGGAACCGGAGTTAGAAGAGCTAGAAGTTACATTTAGTGACCGTGGGGAGGCTTTGGTAATCCAGTGCAACATGATTATACCCCAAGTAGTAGACAAGGCAGATTGGTTAAACCTGAAGTATTTCTCATCAATTTGTTTCCAAAATCAACAAGTCATTGATTGGGACTCTCCACTGGTCTTCGATGAGTGTTCAAATGAAGAAGGTAGTGATCGAATTTTTTTATCAAGAACCGGGTGAAAAAGAGGAAAAAGTGATATTGGTCAAGATGAAGACAAAGACAGACGTTTTAGAAGAGGAAGTTGTTGGTTTGGCTAGTGAACTAGGGGTTGGAGATGATCATCTTGAAGATGCTCCCTTGATGTATTCTAAGGCTGAACCAAGACAATTTCAATAGGTTCTAATGGATGTATTGATGCAATTTTAGCTAGTTAATGTGACTAAACCGAGTGGACATATCACCTGATTGCAAAGACTCAATCTCACTACACAATCGTTGTGTTTTGATTAATCCAATAACTCACAAGTCCCAGGATCATGTTTTTAGTATTTGGGTTGAAGAAGGTTGCATGGTTAACGCAAAATTCAGCTTAGCTTATTTCAAAACTCGAGGACGAGTTTTCTCCAACCAGGAGGGAATGATGCAAGACATGATGCACTTAATTTTTTAATATTTCTTATCATATTTAAGGATACTTTTTTTAATTTACAGGGTTATTTTTTAGGGGTTCTAAGTTTTTTTTAAGGATTCTAGGATTTTTTATATTTTTTAGGGCTTTAGGAGACATTTAGAAAAGTGGTTAAAATACTTATGGAATTACTTGTTTTATTAGGGGTAAAAGGGTCATTATAAATTTTCTTTTAAGCGAAGGGATTTATGAGGTATTTTTATAATGTTTTAATTTAAGTGAGGACACTTTTGGTCTTTTCTATTATAATATAATAAAAGGGCCTGGGGTGTTAGGATTTCTAACACTTCTGGGGTGTGAATAGTAAGACAAGCTGCAAATAGTAACAACCATAGTTACCAAGACCTCCTAATTTGGTAGGTGATCCCTTCTAGGATCTCAATTCAATCTATTGTTCCAAAAAGCGGGCCGCCCAATGTCTAGGTGGCCACCTAGGTGGTCCAGAGGGCTTGGGCATCTCGCCCAAGCCTAGGCAGCCTGCCCTTTAGCAGCCACCTAGGCGCTTGGGAACCCACCTAAGCTAGCACCCAACACCCAAAGGCGGAAAATGCCCCTTCTTGAGGGACATTTTTGGGTTGTTTTATAGAGATAAGAGGGGAAAAGAGGTTTAGGTTTGAAATTATAACCCATTTTAGAGAGAGATCAAAAAACTAGATTTTTGTGATTTCCATAAGATCGAAGGGTTTCTCAAATTTACAAGAAATTGATCTAAACATCACCCATTGAGATTAGATTTAGTTTTGGAGGATTTAAAGGTCTATTAGAGGGTTTTTAGAAGATTTTGAAATTAGAAAACATCTCAAAAGTGGAAGTTTTGAGATCAAGCAATCAAAATTAGTGAAAGGGAGTTGTACTTGGTTTTGGGAGTGGGAGTGGGGGGGCTAAGATGCCTCTGGTTAGAGGGCCTAGAGATTGTTTTTTGCCCTAGCCTGACCCTAAGGTTGCAAGAGAGAAAATAAAGAAACAAACAACTATTGAGAGCAGAATCAAGAAAGAAGAGAGAGAGAGTTGCACAGTACATTGCTAGATGATTTTATGAGGCAGGCATTCCTTTCCATGCCGCTCGCCTAAGCAGCTTCTACACCTTGATAGAGGCAATTCGTCAATTTGGGCCTGAGATAAAGCCCCTAACCCTATATGAGCTTTCAGAGCCTCTTTTGAAAAAAGAGATGATTGTCACGAGGGAGATTATTGAGGCTCAGAAGGATGCATGGGCACACTATGGGGTTTTTGTTACGACTGATACTTAGAGTGATAAGAAGAGAAGTAGCCAGATGAATTTGCTGATGAATTGTCCTTTAGGGACTATTTTTTTTAGGTCTATTGATGCCTCTAACTATAGCCATGATACCTATTACTTATTTCAAGTTTTGGAGAAGGGCATCAAGGAGGTTCAAGAGCAGCATGTTATCCTAATGTTGTTGCTGCTATTTTGTTGCACATAGCTTACCCTAATATCTTTTGGACACCATGTGCAATACCTTGTATAGTCCTCATGCTTGAGGCTCTTGGAGGTTTGGGCAATATTTCAAGTGCAGTTAAGAAGGCAAAGTCAGTTACGACTTTCATTTATAGCCACACCCTCACCCTCCGCATGATGTACAGATTTACAAAGAAAAAAGCGATTGTGAGGCGTGGGGTCACGAGATTTGCAACCTTGTACTTTTACCTAGATAGCTTACATTCGAAGAGAGTCGATGTTTACCTTGGATGAGTGGAGAGCATACAAGTGGTCCAGATCAAAAAGGGAAGAAGGTGAGAGATATTATCCTTTATAAGGCTTTTTGGAGAGGGGTGAAAGGCGCTCTTACGGTATTTTTTCCTCTTCTCAAAATCCGTCGAGTGGTTGATAGTGACAAGCCCTCTATAAGCTACATACATGAGGCAATATAGATGCAAGAAAGAGATAGCCCACAATTTAGATTATGTGAGCCACTATGAGCCTGTTTGGAAGATTATTGATGAGAAGTGGGATAGGCAGCTACATCAGCCATTGCATGCAGCTGGTTATTTTTTGAACCCCAACTTTTTTTTATGCTGATAGGGATATACACACAAATGACACAATTATGACTAGATTTAATAAGTGCGTAGATGTGTTAATCCCTAATCCGGATTATAGTTTTTGGAAACGTCTGTGATTCCGAATCGTTTCTGGAATAAGAATCGCATGTATCAGAAGTTTCAGAATCTAGGAATCGTTGTCCGTATGATTCGGATTTGAGCAAAATGATTCTCAATTCTTCAAAATCGCGATTCAAAAAATTAGGAATCGTGTTTCCTATTTGCAAGAATCGATGTCTCTTCATGTTGGAATTGTGTTGCATACCTATATGGAATCTCACATAACCCCACTTGTTTCGGTGGTTGCTGGAATCGTGATTCCTAAAAATAAGGAATCATGATTCTTAAAAGTCTAGAATCGTTGTCCCCATCAACTTGGAATCAACATTTCACCATTCCGGAATCATGATTCTCCCCATATTGGAATCGAGATTCTCCCCTTACTAAAATTGTGAACCAATTCCCTCCGGAACATGAGCGAAATATTCAGAAAATATATAAATTTACCCATTACTACAACATTGAATTTTGGTCTGTATATACTCAGTCCAAGACTCCAAGTACTAAAGTCAACCTTTATAATATCTTTGTGGACAATCCCATCCAATGGACTCGGTCTACCGATAACCCTATTATGCCTATAAGGTCAGAAGCTAGTCTACAGAATACAAGGAGTGAGAACAAGGGCAAGCTCCCTTTATCTCCTTTCCTTGAATTATAAAATAAGTACATGACATAGTAATTCTTTTTTATTAAATGTAGTTTTGAGTCTTTTGACTCTTGAAAATTGAGTTATTCAATTTTTCGTTAATTTCTCTGATATTTAATGATCAATTTAACCTAAAACACGACACAGGGCACTTCGCTCATATCCTTATTATCTTCCTATTTTACTTAAAGAAAGCATTTTTATCCTCTTACTCAACTTGAAGAAATGACGATGTTGATCATATATTAAACATTATTACATTAGTAGTTTAGTACCCACACCATTTACCAAACATTATTAAATTTGAAGTAACATATTTTTTTAATATTATTTATTCTTGGTGAGAGTTCTTAAAAAGTAACATGGAATCAAGATGGAAATTAGTACATAAGAAAATAAAAAATTTAACATATTACTTATATTTTAAATTTTAATTTTATTGCCGTGTGTAACAACTTCAAATTCTCTCATGCTCTCATACATGTCGCACTCACTCATGATTGAGCACACATCAAAGGGTTTCTTCTCTCCCTATGTTCACATATTACTCATTTTAAAGTTTGATTTTATTGCCGTGTGCAACAACATCAAATTCTCTCACGCTCTCATACATGTCAAGCTCACTCATGATTGAGCACACATCAAAGGGGTTCTGCTCTCCCTATGCTCACATTGCTTCCTGACAACATGGATTCGCAATTCCTTAATACTTTGAATCAACACTTAGCATAAGTTGAATCGCATTGTTGTGTAGAAAGGAATCACGATGTTTGCGATTTAGAAACTTGATTCCAAACAACATGGATTCGCAAATCCAAAAAAATTGGAATCAATGTTTCTCACAAGCAAAATCGCCTTCCTGTGTAGCTAAGAATCATAAAGTCCTCGATATGGAATCTTGATTCCGACAATCCAGGAATTGAGATTCCTAAACTAGGTGAAATAGCGTTCCACAAAAAATGGAAACGTGATTCGACTTTTGCCAGAGGAAACGCCGAATCGAGATTCCGAAACGTAATCGCTACCCTCATAGGCGATTCGGGTAACTATAATCCGGATATCCAGGACATTATATGCATTGATGAGCTAATAAGCTACAAGTGCGGATTAAAGTCTTTTGAGAGTCCAATGGCGGTGAGCCAAAACACCAAACTTAATCTAGGTAATAATATTATTAAGTTCCTCAAGTTCAAGTTTCATTTCAGGTTTGTTGTTTGTTTTCCATAATCTACGTTTCATATATAATTAACAATTATAATTCATAATCAATTTGCAGCCAATTGGTGGAGCCAACATAGGTGTAGCGCTCCAAATTTACAAACATTGGCCATTTGGATCTTAAGCCTAACCACTACCTTGTCCGACTGTGAGCAGAATTGGAGTACTTTTGAGATGGTAATTTAGTTTACTTCATTAGTTTACAAATTACAATTTACTAATTTGTATCAGTACTTTAGTAGTTAGTAGCTAATTAGTTAGTAATCATAATTACTATGTCAGTTGCAAATTTGTAGTTTTGTAGTATTATATATTTATATTAATTAGTTTCATTTGATTTTATTAGATTCATACCAAAAAAAAGAACAGGCTTGCATCAAAGAAGCTCAATGCCTAGTCTATGCCATGTATAATCGATACTTGAAAGAAAGGTTTGCTAAGAGAGACCCCCTCAAATAAAAAAATATGGATAATGATCTGGAGTGGTTGGTTGATGATGAAGTCGAGGGGCATGAAGGATTGACGTGGAATATGGTCATGGAGGCCTCAGGGACATCAGCGGACCTTCCTAGGGCCACTAGATTTCCTTCCAAAGGATGAGGGTGGAGGAAGAGGAGGAAGCAGAGGCAGATTCAAAAGAGACAGAGGAGGGCGATCACTATGTTGAGGAGGGAGATGATTCCGATGATATGGTTTCGACTTCGATACATATGATACAGATGCAGCTAACCCTGCTTTTTTTGATGATGGGTGATGATTGAAGACTCTTTTGAGTCTTCAAGTCTATATGTCATTCATTTTTCTTTTCCTCGTCTTGGTTGTGTCCTGTGGTTTGTAAAATTTTAAGGTTTGACTATGTGTGGACTATGGATATGGACTTTGGAGTATGAAAGAGTGTATGTGGACTTGTGAACTATAGACATTTGATGTGACCCCCTAACTCTTATGTGTTATTCCTTTTTTTTTTTCATTTTCTTGATGAAGAATTGATGTCTTACTAAGTTGCTATCTTGGATTATGGACTAAAATATATCTCAATATGTATTTTTTTAATATATCTCAATTTGAAATGCATGGAATTATGAAATTAAATATGTCTCAATATGTATTGTTTAATGTTTTTACACAAATCTGACCTTAAAACAACTTTTTATTCTACTAGGCCACCTAGGTTCTGGGCGCCCGCTTAGGCACTGGGCGACCTGGACCCCCAGCCGCCTAGGCGCCACCCGGTTTTTTTGGAACACTGATTTTGTCACTCCTTGAACAGATCTCCTAGGGATCTCGATCCCCATTGCTAGGGATCCTGATTTTTTCTATTTGGGATCTCGATCCCAACCTTAAAAGACTAAGACAACAACCAAATTGATGATTTTCTTTATTTATAGCCAGCTAGCAATACAACTATACTTTTAACAGAGTTGTATTGCTTGCCTGCAATAAATAAGGAAATCCCGACTTTAAAGAGTATATATAATCTTAAATTATCATAGACTTTAACATTAATAGCAAGATCCCCAAAAACTTGGTATAAAATTCCAAAAGGTTGGGATCAAGGTCCCCAAAAGGTTGGAATATCAATCCCTAACATTTGGGAATCTCGATCCCGAACATGTACATTGTACGCACAACACTCCCAACCATAGGGATCTTCTAGTATCTCATGATCCCCCAGTCCAAAATCCTGCTCCCGGTACCGTTCCCGCTCCCAATCCTAACTATGGTAACAACAAGCCCTATCAAGGGTTTTGGGGTCACTTTTTTGTACAAGTAAAGCCAAATCAACTCAAATTTGGCTTGCGTTGATGGTTTACTAAACTTGTTGTCTATTTTTTCTATTTTCCTGCATCATGTTCCCACTTTACAATAATGAAATATCTAAGATTTTGATGTATGTCGAAGACCTACAAATGATTGACCAGTGAATGTGCACATCAATTACAAAAAGTACACACCAGATACCAGTTAACACAATAAGAATAATGGATAAAAGGAAGTGCATAAATTTTGTCAAAGAACGTTAATATCTCCATAAACTAAGTCCCAATAACAAGAAGAACTTCATTTCCACTTTCCAAAGGAAATTTCCTATACGAACTCATGTAACTTTCAGTTTGCTACATAGCTTAGAATCAGTCATCATATAACAGAAAACCAATCATGAAAAATGATATTTTATGGTCACTGGGTGAGATAATATCATCACAAAGTTACCTGTCTGGATGCTTTGTTCTGAAGACATCATAAAATGGACCACCTCCTTCCTTCAACAATGATTTCAGCCACTTCCGAAATCTAAAATAAACTTTCAATTGGAAATATGCTCTACAGTTATTGTAGCTGATTCTACTAGAATCCTTAGTACCAAGAGTACACTAATTAAAAGTAGTGACCAGCCATCAAATATAGTAACTGCATTGTATCCATTGTTAATAAGAAGCGGTAACGAACCAATAACTTACGAATTATCCTCAAAGTCTGGTCCTGCATCACAGCAATCCATAGCAGAAGGTGCAATATTCAAATCACCAACAATAAATATTGTTCTTCCTTGATTTAATATCGCCTCCCATCTTTTCTACAGTAGAAACAACAAAAACCAAGCTACATCAACTCCGTTGGACTATCAAAAAATGAAAAACCATTTTGTAGGTCATACTACATGCTACTCATATTTTTATGAAAAGAAAATGGAAATCATTACAAAAAATTCACAAAGGATTAATGGAGGATGGGAACTCAGAAGGACCTCCCCCACTCAATCCCAAGTGAAATGCACATCCAGATTCACACCCCCCTCAACCACCAGTGAAATGCACATCCAGATTCACACCATATTAACAAGATGTTACGCCAGCTAATTGCACTCCCTATGAATCAAACACAGTTATATCAACTCCCAAAGTCAGCTCTGCAACAAACCAAGTTAAATTAAACAAATAAATAAGATTTAGTTTCTTTAAAGCCAGGTCACCTTGCATCGGATCCCCCCCCCCCTCCCCGCCCCCCCTCTTTGTAGCCCCATCCTAAAAGCATTTCCCAAATCATGTCAGAAAAATGCTCATATCTCATTTCCCTACCTTCGTCCCCCTCCCTCCCAACCCCATGCCCTCTCGAATTTATGTTATGAATAACCTTTTTAGTATAGTATTTATTTAGTGCTATCCATCTTGCTTATTTTGATATTTTGCAAAAATTATTTTTATTTAAATATGTTAAAAAATGAGAGGTCATGCCCTCCCCAAGTGCCTTGTCCTCACCCTAGTTCCATGATGACCTGACACACTGACTAGCCAAGTCAAGTTTGAGTCCCAAGTCAACATTATATGGATCAATCCTAACAATGTAAGTCAGTTTAGAAATATCCCCAATCCCAAGGCATGACAAGGTAAAAGACACTCCATTTTTGGACATTTCGCAGCATCGAGAGCCTCATTATACATTTTGAAAGGTCTAAGGAGACATATCGTGGGGATCCTAATTTCTCACAGGAAATATCCCATTTCTTCCATTATGGAATAAAATCTCCCAGCAGGGTCTGCACAGCTCAGAAGCATCTAGACTCTAATCTTTGAATTATTCCCAGCCAATAAAGTTACTGTTCTAACTAGTAGTCAATTGTGTTTAAACTTAAGGATACATAGAACCTACTTAAGGTATATAGGCTCTATCACATCAATGAAATCCTCATCCAGAATGCGCATTAAAACCCCATGAGCAGGAATTATTTTGAAGCTCAGTCAAAAAGAAGATAAAGACACTAAATAATAATCAGTGATCAAAATAATGATCTTCAAGAGGATTTCGGAAAATGTACAGTCATCAAGTTTAAGATATTATGCACTTAAGTTCTCATGGCTTAATTATCAAGATATTCATATGACCAGGAATTCATATCTTAAATACACCAATTTCAAAGAGGAGGAGAAGGAGGTTCATCATAACAATCCTTTGCTATACAAAAAATATGTATATATCCAAGAAAAATTCACAAAATCTTTCGGAAAACCATAAGCGATAAACTACCAAATAAATATTCAGATAATAAGAATACATGCAGAAAAATCCTACCTGTAAAACCTTAAAGAAAGTGAACTTGAACTGTACCCTTTCCACGTTATCAGATTGAGCTCGAGGTCCATATATGTTGAAAAGAACTGTGGTAGTGAAGTTAAGTTGAAATCACCATGTGACAATAACATTAATGTGAAAAATGCATCAAGAAGAGATCAAAGAATAACTATTGAGAAAATGTAAAGAAAAGTGAGGTTTGGGTCTGGCTTGATCAATTAGGTGTTGAAGGTTTCACCATCCTATTACTGAGCTATGCAAAAAATAATAATAATAATAATTAAGTAAATAAATAAATTAAAAGAAAACTTTACCGATCTTGGTTTATTTCACAGCATGATTATGAGTTTCTTCTTAAGTCCATAATTATGATTACTGATTTTTTTGCAGACAATGGCGTTTGTTGTTCTTAAGGGGTTTCGGACTGTTAATAACCAAAGCATCATTATGGATCCCCTCTTAAACAAGTGAGCTCACCAAAATGCCCATGATCAGTGATGACACAACGCCCCTCACTGTCAACTTTCAAAAGGTCCATTCCTGATAATGGCCCCAGTTCCTCCACCTGCTCAAAAATATTAGCCAAGAAAGCTCCTGAAGAAACACTCTCTCCTTTTGAACGATCCAGCAGACCTGTGAAACCTTCCTCTGCTGCAAGAGGCAAAGCCACTTCTTTGCTTGAAAATGCTGATTCAACACGACAAAATGTTGCAACACCTATAATAGAAATAAAATAATGAAGTATAAGTTGGGAGGAAATAACAAAGAAAAGAAATTAAAGAAGAAAGAAACCAATTTAAAAAGCATCAAGTAACATACTGTAACAAAACAACACCATAGCCCATGAGCAAGAAATGTTCCAATTACCCAACCGGTTCCATGTCTTCATTGAACCAAATAACAAATTTAAGAATTTTGCAATGAGAATTGTATTTTTCTTGAAAGGCAAATTAAGCAAGTACTGTAATATGATGCATTTCACTTGACCCCCTTGGCATCTCTTCGGTAGGACCCAAAATTTCAATAGTTGAAATGAATAATGGTTCAACTTCTGTTAAACGCATAGCTGTGAGGGGATAAGGAAACTCATTTCCAGGTACCCTTAGGGAGGGGAATGAGGTGACCGATTATCTGGCTAAGGAAGGCATCACACGTGACCCGCTTGCTTTACCCTTGCTTCGAATATACTATTTATGATTTTTTTATCATCATCTTTTCATATGCTGTTTACTTGATGATTGAATTATTTATTTAGTAGTGAAATTATCACTGATATCAAAAACTACAAAGAAAAATAAAACAAATACCAATACAATATTGAAATGAAGCCTTCATATACATATTTGTTTGAAGAGCTCAACATTTAGCGTCCAAGTTGTTCGACTATGATTCTCATACTCCTACAATTGAGAGATTGATTCTACAACTTGAATTGGTGAGTATAGACAATGAAGCTTACCAGAATAACCAACACGACCTCTGTTAGAAGTACGAGTGCAAGAGAAAAAGGACTCATATCCCGCAGCCATGGCCAAGTCTGCCGAAAGTTCTTGTCTTGACAATTTTGTTTCCTGCAGTGCTTCANATTTTTCAACACAGCAGTATGACAATAATTCAAGAAAAATTGGAAGGCAATAGGTCCTTCTATAAACCAGTAAAACCAACACTGTGAAATCATCAAAAAAACAATCACTATGCTTGATTCATTAAAAGAAAAATCACATAGAAATTTAAAGGGTCAAATGGTTTTACGTGAAATGTAGTTGTGACATGTATGATGTATCCTTCAAAAAATTGTCCCAAAAGAATAAAAGGAATAAAAGCAAAGCCTAGATTATTTCTTTAACAATGACTAGGACCTATATAAAATAAAATAAAATCAGCTTTGATGGGTCCTTCCATGGCGCATTTAGATTATCTCAGCGGGATTCCCCAAAACCAGGACTATAACATTATTGAAGAAAATGCTTTGCATTTATCACAAACAGAATGCATACATAGATAGTGAAAGGGAATCATGCTCTTAGGAGGATTGGCATAATGAAGTAAAGAAAAAGATTATCGCCAATCGACACTGACTCAAGCCTGTAATTTACATGCTTGAAGTGACGGAAATACAAATTATCACATCCAAAGCAAAGTAACAATGCCACCAAAGAAAAGCAGTTGCATACTTGGGTTATGATAAAGTTGCATCGACATCTTTCTTCCAAATGCCTCCCATCATAAAAATATATATAATATGTATATGCAACAAATCCTTCATGGTAGACAACCCATTGTAAGGAAACAAAACCTAACAAGCTCCAAACTTTTCTGTTCTTTAAATTAGAGAAAATGTTTGAAGCAATTCTCATCCTTCTGTAAATCGAACTATTTCCAGGAATTGAAATCAAAGTTGTAAGGCAAAATAATCCGAATAAACTTAGGCGTATTACTTGTTTTGAATCCCAATCCATGGGAGATGAGAGAGAGAGAGAGAGAGAGAGAGAGAGAGGCGCTACCTGGAGGCAAATAATATCTGCTTGCAGAGAGTTGAGGAAGTTGAGGAGGGAGCCGTGCTGATTCACTCTTTGCCTTAGCCCATTCACGTTGTATGTCAAGATCCTCATCCTTCCTCTCCATAACCACTTTTCTTCCTAATTCAAATCAAGAGAGACAGAGAGACTCAAATGCCCCTGAACCCAGTCTCACCTCCTCTGCAACTCGTTCAAAAGAACCGGCCTGATTAAACGCCATTTTCCCGCTTTCACGTTCTAGGGCCTTCAAAATGACGGATTAAGGCGACCCTTCGCTCATTTCCCGACAGGATCTTGGATGCTATAACACCATTTGCCATTTGGCGTGAGGTTTGTACAAGGTCATCTCCTCAATTAAGGCGCATCTCTGAAGTTTGGTTACAGACTTCGTTCCGGTGTACAAAATTTTATAAGGGTTTAAAAATCTATTTTCATTTTATAAACTCTAAAATGTAAAGGTTGTACAGATCGGGCATATCAATAAATAATTAAAGATCTTAGGAAAAATTTCAGAAAAAAAAAAAACCTTTCAATTTTGTAAACCTTGTTCACACTTTTTGTTTTTTTATTTTAGATTTTTTAAAACATTTAAATTTTTTTTACCAAAATAACCTTCAAAATAGTTGTATTACCGTGAAGCATTATAATAATATATCATAAAAACTAACCCTTGTTGTACAGCATTTTATATACCGAAAGGAGTTGAAGTATTATTACGGCATTATACCCTATAAACCCTACCCAAAACCTTTTTTCATTTATGGTTCTGTTTATATTTATTAGAAATATACCCTAATTTTCAAGCGATGTGCCGGTGAGATAATTGCAAACATAGTCAGATGGGGGTGAAGGGAGTTTTTTTAGGGGAGGATAAAGTACACAAAGGTTGTTATACAAATCTCTTTGGCACATTGGAATGGCGTTCATTGAGTTGATGAAGTAACTAGAGAGAAAAAGAGAGTTAGACAGAGAGAAAAGATAAAAAAGAATTAGACCGAAAAAGAAAGATAACTATTAAAAAGAATTAGAGAGAGAAAAAAGAGATAAATATAAATAGAATCGTAAAAGAGAAAAGGGTTTCGTGTAGGGTTTATAGGGTGTGATACTATTACGGCATTTGGAGTGCTGTAATAATACTTCAACTCATTATAGTATATAAAATATTGTATAACATGGGTTAGTTTTTACAATACTTGAAATACCGTAATGGCGTTTTACGGTGCCGACAATTGAAGAAAAAGGGTGTGGGCGACATTTATGAAAGTTGAGTCTTTTTCTAAATAGACGAAAATTAAGGTATATTTATGATAATTTCCCAAGATATTATTTTTATATAGGGGTACGGTTTGTATAGAGCCAAGGCTCTAAACATTCAAAATAAAGTTTTTTTTTTTTTTTGTAATTCAGTAGAGAAGACAGACCCCTACTCTTTTCTTTAAGAAGATTAGGAGTTAGATTTATTAACGTGTTAGTAAAGTAGTGTTATTGATAGGAATAGAAACTACAATGTGGTGACTAGGTGTGAGGATGTTACCACCATGACCCCAGCCCCTTTCCTAAATCAAAGTAAAGTTCACCGTCAAATAGTGATGAGAAATGTGATTTCAATATTGGAAATCTTTGTGATTACTTTAAAATATATTTTCATCTTTAATTATAAAATTTAAAGCTTTAAAAATAGTGTACATCTAGCAGATCTATTAAAACTTGAAATCCAATTTTTTCTCATCTCCATGCATCTTGATGTCGAGATGATCAATTTGAGGATATTTATAATAAAAACAATATCCAGTTTATGAAAAGGCCACATCATTTCCTTTTGAGAAGAGAATGTAACAAGATAAGAAAATGTATATTGCATGTAACAAGATAAGAAAGTGTGTATTACACAATTGTATTACCATGATATATACAATGAAAGAGCTACCACAAAATAGTGTGGGGCACAATTATTTTTCTTAGAAGAGTTCATCTTTTCTCTCTAAAATTATATATGGTATCAAAGAATCACCGATCCTCTCAATAATTCATCTTGAAGTAGTTTATTAATCTAAAGCGGGCAGCAACCTCATCTTGACTCACACTACTTCAATCCTTCCCTATCTTTAATTTTTATTAAGACATTATCGTCGTTTTTTTTTTTTCCTAACACCAGTTTTCCCTCTTACATTTTTTTTATTTTTTATTTTTCTTTCTAGCCATTAAAAACTCTCTCTTCACCTCATTGTTTCACCTTCTTGGCATCTTAAGCTTCATCCCATCCCACATCCAACTCCCTCTCTTTATCTCTCACATATTCAAACCTTACGTCCTTAATTAACCTACTTCCTCCATCGCCATTAAAACCGACTTCACTCTCTATATTATTTCTTACCCTAATAACTAAGTCACGCACAACCCATATCACCCTCTCTTGCATACCCAATTTCTCAGAAAAAAAAAAACCTCAAATCCACTCTCTCACCCTCTCCCTTCAAATACCTACTCGCTTCAATGGATATTTTATTATTGTCAAACAAATATCCCTATGGTTCCCCCTTAATATAGGAAACTTTGTGTTTATTAAGTTGACATATAACAACTATCTCTTATGGGAAACTCAAATGCTCTCTCTCTTTGAGAGTCATGAACTTTTTGGATTTGTTGATGGTGATTGCCTTACACCAAGTCAAAAGATTTCCTCTCCTGATTGTAAGATTGAAAAGTCCGACCGACTTCTTAAAGCCTGGATTACATGAACATTATCAAATGAGTGTCTTAGCCTTGTTTTGGCATCAAGACTTCTACATAAGTTTGGAAATGCCTGAAGAATACCTATGCAAGTAATTCTCAAGCTAGGAAGTTTCAACTTACCCAGCAACTCTAACTTTGCAATAAAAGGAATTCAACCCTATCAGAATACATGTGCAAATTCAAGAGTATATGTGATGATTTGGCAACTATTGGAAAACCTATACTAGATGAAAATAAGGTTTTTTAGCTTATTAATGGACTTGGTCAAAAATATGAGAGTTTTACTACTACTATGCTTAAGCCTCTGGTTCCTCTTTATTCTAAAATTATACCTCTTCTTCAAAGCCATGAGATTAGAAATCAGCCTCATGTCTTTGAAGAACACTCAGATCCAAATCGAAATATGGCATTTATTGGACAACAAATGTTTTTTGGACCCAACAGAGGTAACCAGAATTACAAAGGTAGATGGATGAATAACTTTGCTGGTCAACGTTTCTTCAACTCTCGAGGACGTGGGTTTATTCAAATTAGCAATATCCGTAATGGGGGTCATGGGATGCCTCGAAAAAATTAAGTAAGTGGTGGTACACTTCTTATGTGACACATGGATCAAGGCTTCCAATAAGAATTCTTAGATACAACAGTCAGCTCAGACACCTCATGAAAAGTGTCAAATGTATGGGAATCTTGGACATACTACATGGAAGTATTGGCATCGATTCAACCACACAAACCAAGTAGAAGATATTCCTCAGGCCCTTGCTGCAATGACTATAGCTAATTCACAGGACTAAAAATGGTTCCCGGACACAGGTGCCTCCACTTATATGGCAGAATTTCCAGGCGAGTTACAAAATCTTCATCCCCATAGAGGCACATATAGAGTCATGGTTGGGAATTGTGACCAAATAACTATTTTCACATGTTGGTGGTACAAATATTGCTATTGGCTCCGAAAAAATCAATGTTTCTAATGTGCTCTTAGTGCCTGAATGAAAAAAATATATATTATATGTTAGTCAATTTACAACAGATTTCCCTTGTATTTTTTAGTTCTTATCGAATGGTTTTCTAATTAAGGAAATGAGCACAAGGAGAACTCTGACCAGCAAGAGTAGAAATGGAAGATTATATGCACTTGAAGAAGTGAAACAAGCTTTATTCTCTAATCGGAATAAAAGAACGTCAGAAGATATGCAGCATCAACATCTTGGATATCTTCAAAATAAAATTGTTTGTTACTTAGATACTAAACAATTAGTTAATGTTGATGCATGGAATGAGTATTATTCTATTTGTGCTGGTTGTTAGATGGGAAAAAGTTGTAAGCTTCCTTTCAGTGGTGTTGATAAAACCTCTATTGAACCTCTTTTTAAGATTCTTATAGATTTATGAGGACATGCTCCAATTTTATCTAATCAAAGCTATTGATTTTATGTGGTGTCTGTTGATGATTATACTCATTTCACTTTGATTTATCCTTTGAAATGAAAATCTGAATTTTTCAGTGCATTTATGAAATCTCATCGCATGGTTGAAACGATATTTGATAAAAAAATTCGAGTTTTTCAATGTGATGAAGGTGGTGAATTTGCTAAAAAAGAATTTATTGTTCATCTTAATGACAATGGAATTATGCAACAATTATCATGTCCAGGAACCCTTGAGCAAAATGGAATAACTGAAACAAAACATATAAGTATTGTAGAATTGAGCCTTATAATGATGTTTCATGAAGGAATTTCTGAACATTTTTTGGTTGAAGCCTTTCATACCTCATTATTTGTTATCAATTGAACTCCCTCAACCAATTTAAAGATGGATTCATCATACTCATTATTGTTTGAATGGTTACCAGACTACTACTCTCTTCGAGTAATTGGTTGTTGGTGTTTTTCATATCTTTGAGACAATGCTGCAAACAAATTTAGTCCCCGCTCTCTTTCATGTGTATTTTTAGGCTATAATATCCAACATAAGGGCTACAGATGTCTACATCCACCGACAGGCCGAGTTTATACGTCTAAACGCGTAGTATTTAATGAAAATATTTATCCTTATGTTAAACCCAATTCTTTGCTTGATAGAGATCAGGTTCAAGAGGAGCTCCCCACCTATGCAGAATGGTCGGATTGTTATGAATTTGACATATAAACTCATTCCTCTTTTGATTCATCACCTCTACATAAACAACATATGCAGGACGTTCTTGATGTATCTGGCTCTTCCAGTTCTACTTTGCCCATTACCAATGACAGTCCTCCAACTTCTCTTGTAGAGGAAGATATCATCACTGCAACACCAATCCATGATGTCCAAAATGATGCAACACACAATCATGGTGATGAACATGTTGCCACTGAAGAAACCAACCAATCGAATTTTTTACCAACCTCTGAGCATCCTCATCATCACATGGTCACAAGATCTCAAGATTGTGCTCAAATACCTTAGATTCTCCCCTCAATGGCAACAATTTCTGCCTTGGGTCCTCCAGGTTGGCATCATGTAATGGAAAAAGAAATTAAAGCCTTACATGTTAATTCAACTTGAGAGCTAGTTCCACATCTTCCAGGTATGAATATTATTGGTTGTCGTTGGGTCTATAAGACTAAATTAAAATTTGATGAAAGTCTAGAGAGATTTAAGGCTAGACTAATTGCTAAATGATATAATTAGGTTGC